GATACCTTGTAAGAGACATAAATGAAGATCAATATTGACTAGAAGACATCAGTAAACCTGTCCTTCATATGCAAACACATCTACAACTAGAATGGCATGCAATACTCATTTGTTTTAAATAAATCTAATCTAAGTTAACAACCTTCCGTTATTCCTACAGGCCAAAGCAAGGGGCTTTCTGGAGTGTTCAGAAACAATCCAGTGAGGTTAGAGAAAAATAATCAAATAACATTATTTTTAACTAATATTTTTCCCTTTGATTCTTCAAATGTTTTCATAAGGTACATTATATATATGGTTTCATATAGTACACAGCATATACTACATATGATAGTATATGAACATTATTCATAAATACATAAATATATACATTATAGGGTTTTTTACTTACAAGGTCTGTCTGGAAAAAGTCCAACCATTGTTGTATAACAAGAATGGTTTGCACCACTTCGATGTAACCTGGCAGCCAAGGAGAGTGGATGGGAATGTGCATGTGTGAACAATGACAACTTCACTGTACTAGTCAGTGGAGGCGGTAGATATCAAAACGAGCTTGTGTAATGTGTGGTCATCACATTCAAAATGACTGAACGAGTAGAGCCATGAATCTTCATCAAATTTTGTGTTAAGCATGAACATTTCTCTGCAAAACCATTTGGATGATTCAGAAGGCCACAGCTATGGGCAATTGGTGACTGGCTGCTTCATCATGACAATGTGCCCACGCATGCATCATGTCTTGTGCAGCAGTTTTTTGGCAAAACATCAAATCACCCAGGTGACTCAGCCCCACGACAGCCCAGATTTGGTGCCCTGTGCCTCTGGGCTTTTCCCAAGACCAAAATCACCTTTGAAAGGGAAGACATTTCAGACCACTGGTGAGATTCAGGAAAATACGATGGGGCAGCTGATGGCAATTGGGAGAACTGTGTGAGGTCCCAGGGTGCCTACTGTGAAGGGGACGGAGGCATCATTGTCCTATGAACAATGTTTCTTGATTCTTGTATCTTCTTTAATAAACATCTATCTTTTCCATAGGGCATGGCTGGACACTTACTGGACAGGCACTGTGCATCTCACACACATCCTCGACTCTCCACCCATCACAGACCTATACCTCTCCTATGCCTTCACTTTTCTCAGACAGATGAATCCTTCCATAGCTACCTAGGGAAGGATCAGTGATAGCTACTGTCACAGATCATTGTTCATCTATATTGTTATCGATGAATAGCCACTTCAACAGGCTATATACTCTTTTCAGACAAGGTTATCTGCAACCATTTGTCTTCGGCAGTATAGCATAATGGCATTATGGCATGATTTTTAAGAGAGCAGGTTCTGCAGCCAGGTTGCCTGGATCCAAATCCCAGTTTTACCACTTATTAGCTGTGCAGCTAGTAAGTTATCTGTGCTTCCACTTCTTTGCTATAAATGGAGATAATATTCCCTATCTCACAGAGCTGTTGTGAGACTAGAATGAGTTAATACATGTCAAATGCTTAGAAGAATGCCCAGCACCATAGTAAGTACTCATAAGCATTAGCTATCATGAACATTACCACCCCCTGCCAGCATCACTACTACCACCATTTTTCTATTAGACATTTACTCCAATGTCTAACAGAGTAAATGTTAGGTGGAGGGAAGTGAGAAGGGCATGTGTTGTAGAACAAATACATTATGTGATGTGTTAAAATTTTGAAAGTGACTGTTTCAAATTTCATAATTCTTTCATAATTTCATAGCAGGATAATATAACTTGAAGGCAAAGTGGCTCACTAGCATCAGCTGACAGTTGGTGAGTTACTGACAAATAAAACGTAAATAATTAGAATATGAAACAATAAAAACCTTTGAGTTCTGCTTTTACAGCCTTGATAAGGTGAGGCTATAAAGAAATTCTCAGCTGAAAATTATTATTGGGATTTTTTCCTTAAGCATTTTTTTTTTTTTAACTGTAATCTCTCCGCTAGTGGAAATCATCAGACACAGGTTTACAGCATATCTACATGTAGTATTTTGATTTTTGTGGATTTCTTACAAGATGCAGACTCACAAATCCATCTCTTCTAAATATACTACCGATAACCTATGCTAGAAGAAAGGCACAGTGGCAAAAATTGTTATATATCATAGGGAAAGGGGTCACAGATATCCCCTTCCCCCTCACTTCACAGATTAGGATGCTGGGACCAGAGAGGGTCAGTGTCTTAACTAAGTCCCACAGCTGATAATTTTCCTTTGACTACTGTCAAGTTCAGTGCTCTTCTCATGATCCCAGTTTTAGAAACTATTTCCATAAACCTTTAGAGTAAAAGTGTGTTTAAGAGAAATAAGAAAGCCATACCATAAATAACCATCTTAGTGCATGACGCACAGTGGGTTCCACAAATGCTTGTTGAAGGATGAGTAGAGGGATGAACAGAGGCCTAGCTGGCTGGCTGTGAAGGCCTCAAGGCCTGAACTCAGGTCTCTCAAGTGGTGCCAGCAAGCCGAGGCTGGTGAGAAGGGCCGCTTCTTAAAGAGAGAACCGAGCAAAAACACAAAATCATTTCCCCCTGTAATCATGCCTCATATCTCACTTAATAAAAGAGATAATCAAATAAACTGGCTTCTCTTCTTGAATTTTTCCTTGAACTATAAGGTAATATAGATTCACGCTAAATTTTTTAAGAATAAATTAATAATATTCATAATTGATACTGTTTGTTGAGTGCCAATTTTGTGTACCAGCCATGCTGCAAACTTTTGACACGTGTTGACATTTAATTCTCACAGCAACTTTAATTTACAAATGTACTACACTGTTATCATCTTCATTTTTCACATGAGAAAACTGAAGCACATAAGACTAACTAACTTGCCTGAAGTTTTATGGCCAGTAACTAATGGGGTAAGTATTTGAACTCAGGCAGTATGGTTCCCAAGTGCATGGTTTTAACCACTCTTTTATAGTGTTGCTCTTCAAGTTTTGGTTTCCAGTACAAATTATAATTAAAAAATATTAAAAATTGATACATTTGACTCAATTAAAATTTAAAACTTCTATACTGCCCCAGTCAATGTGGCTCAGTTGGCTGGAGTGTTGCTCCATAAACCGAAAGATTGCAGGTGAGATTCCCGGTCAGGGCACATGCCCAGGTTGCAGGCGTGGTTCCTGGTCCAGGCACATACAGAAGGCAACCAATCGATGTTTCTCTCACACCAATGTCTCTCTCCCTCTGGAAGCAATATATATATATCCTCAGTGAGGATTTAAAAAAATAAATGAAAACTTCTATACCATAAAAGACACAGTGAAGTGAAAATGCAAGACGCAGACTAGAAAAGATAATAGCAAAACATTTAATCAACGAAACAGTAATTTATAGAATATGTAATTAATTCTTACAACTCCATAAGAAAAAGACAATCAATACAAAAGAAAAAGGGGCAAACACCATGAAAACAAGCAATTTATAAAGAAACCCAAATGGCCTCTCAACACAGAAAAGGATGTCCATCTTACTAATAATTACAGGGTAAATATTAAAAATTTCACTTATTAGACTGGAAAAAATATAAATTCATTAATAGAAGGTGTTTATGAAGATATGGAGCAATGAGAACTCTCTTACTCTGCTATAAATGGGCACTCCATTTAGGAGAGCAATAAATCCATAGTAATATGGAGAACACACACACTCCACATTCCAGAAATTCTACTCCTATGTCCAAAAAGTATTCCCTAGAGAAATGAATGTACACAAGAAAAAATATGTACAAGAATGTTCATAGCAACAGTTTTTCTAATACTGAAAAACTGTAAACTACTTAAATTTCCATCAACAGTAAAATGAATAAGTAAATGGTGGACTAGTCATATAATGAAATACTATACAGCTATCAAATAAAGTGGAACAAGGAAGAATATAGGATGTAAAAGAATGCTTTAGAAAGATATGTTCAATATGTTATTTATACAAGGTGTAGAAATATGCAAAGCAATACTATATATTGTTCAGTAACATATATAAATATTTTAAAAAGTATAAAACATGCATAGGGTTGATACATGCCAAATAAAGATGGTTATTTCTGGGGTGGGAAGGGTAAAGAGTGGGTTAAGGAAGAGATACATAAAGGGCTTCACTGTATCTCTAATATTTTACTTAAAAATGTTTTCCAGTATATATAGTAAAGGAAGATTTTATAAATTTGTATGGTGGCATGTATTGGTTCATTATATTTTCCATACTTTTCTGTATGCTTGAGTTTTTTCAGACTTTTAAAGAAATATTATTAAAAACTAAAGGCAAAGCATTAATGATGGTTAGTTTCATGATTTGTAGGGATTAGTAAAATAAATAGTCAGTACATTATTGAAGCAGACTATAAGCTCAATTGATATCTCTTTTCATTAGATACCTCAAAGTAGGCCAATTTTCCTTGCTGTTATAAATTAATTTGGATAATTATACAATCAGATCTGGGGCTAATGTGTTCCTCAAATAGTAACTTATTTCATATTGTTTCTTTAATGATCAACTACTACAGGCAGCAGTGTCCATATTTTGGAGATGAGGGTCCTAAATATAGCTTTTTGGCTTGTCCAAGGATAGATGTGAAATTGTAGCAGAAGTTCAGAGATATAGCCAGGGATCAAGCCTTCATTCCTTTAATATTATACTTTGTCGTCACAAGAAAATAACCCAAGGTATTTGGTAGCAGTAATTCTGATACTTCTATCTTAACGGAACCCTGAGGTTGAATGTTTGGCAGATGAACTTCAAATACTGTTTACCCATGGACATGGTGGACTTAATCAAAGCAGAACACATTTTTTTAAATGTTGACTTTAAAAACAAAGGTGTAAATGAGACTGTGATGTATGGGTCTGACAATACTGTTCTCTGCTGTAAATACAAGAGTGCAGACTTGTATTAAAGCAGTAATAGGTGCCCTTATTAAAAATTCCACTTTCATTAAAAGTCACAGATTGTCTTCCTTCTTTCCAGTCCTTAAAGAATGCGTTCCAGAAGCAGTGACACAGAGGGCTCAGCCCTAAAGCAATTTCCAAGACATAGTAAAGAGCACAGTTTCCAAGGGCCTGAAGACATGAAGCAGAGGCAGCAAGACAAAGACCCCACCAGTGATGCGGATGCAATTCTACATCCCACGTCACACAGTGGTAATGGCCACCAAGGAGAAGACCTCTCAAGAGATGACCTATTATTTCTTCTAAGCATTTTGGAGGGAGAACTGCAGGTCAGCTGAGTTCAAATTATCCCCGTCATGCTACAAGGGGAAGGCTGCTTGTGAATTTGGTGTGTATGTTGCCACAGAAATATATATCTATGGTTCATACTTGTCTATACATGAAAGAAAGTGTAAGTACACATACACAGAATTCTTTTCTGCCAACTTGAAGGGCAATTAATCACATCTAAAAGGGTTGTTGTATGACATGCAATTGGCATGCATGTTGTGAAAGGTCATATCCTCTGCCGATGCCGCTCACAAGCTTCAGTGCGGAGGCATGTACGTGTAACAATAATACCAGATGACTTCTGGACTGGTTTAAATAACAATAGGTGCATTTGCACCCCAGGTGAACTGGCTCTTAGGACTTGCCCTGGCATTGTTAACCTACATAAAACACTAAAAACAGCTGCTACACATACAGGAGACTCTTATTTCCTATCCCTTAAAAACACAAATGCCAGTCCATTGAGGGGTATCATGTTATCTGCTTGTCAAATACAATAAAAAATGTAGAGTTTCTCAATGTTGTATAGTGATCAATTTTTAAAACATTATTAATGTGCAATTATATTGTAAGAAGGGGATGAAGGGACATGATTTTTGCTACCTTTTCTAAAAGGTGCTATAACTAAACATAATTTGTTTATATTTGAAATTTTAAAAAACAACAAACTCTAATAAGAAATCACTTTCAGAGACTGCTGGTAGATAAAGCGGCTTTCTGAAATGCCTTTTGTTGCTACAGGCTCGAGATGAAGTCATAGGCATTTTAAAGGCTGAAAAAATGGACTTGGCTCTGCTGGAAGCTCAGTATGGATTTGTCACTCCAAAAAAGGTGTTAGAGGCTCTTCAGCGAGATGCCTTTCAAGCTAAATCTGCACCTTGGCAGGAGGACATCTATGAGAAACCAATGAACGAGGTATGTACCACGTCAGGGCTGTACACCTGGGAGGTAGAAGTTCACCAGCTAGCCAAGCACTAGGCCTGGCAGTTGAACATGACATATAACTCCTTTTTGATTAAAGTTTTACATTTTAAGACATTTAAAATCTACCCAAGGTAGATAAATATCATGTTCTACAGAAAAGAAAAAGAGAATAAATCACAAACAGGGTGTTTTCCCTAGGTCTGCTTCTTGACATCAGACTAAAACCTAACAGATGCAAGAGAATCTCTCTCCTTCTGTCTCTGTCTCTGTCACCTCTCTCTCTCTCTACACACACACACACACACACACACACACACACACACACGCCTGAACTTCTGAACTTGTTTTGGGCGACTTGAATGCTATTCAGCTTACAGTAAAAAACAGATAAAGTTCAACCATAAAGGTTAATTTCTTTAAAAACACTGAAGTATTATGTCATACAAATTCTGAGCATGAATGGAAATGATATGAGGATCTGTCCAAGAAATAGAGTTTCAGAAAGCATGTATTTTAGATGAGTGCGTATCTTCCTTTTCCTTCAAAAGTTTAACGACAACAAAGACCTCTCCACTACCACATGTGTTCAGCAATGACAATGGCAAAGATGAGCAGCCTCAAAATGGCCACCACTGCACAAAGTTGCTGTACTGCTTGCTCTTTTATTTGCTGACATTTCTAAAACTCTTTGGCATCCTTCTTTTATTCTATTTTCCTCTGAGACCTCAATGGAAAATTTCATAATTTTTCATTTTTATAAAAAGGAAACAACCAGGAGCATGAGTTAAGGCTGGAGAGAATGAAAGCAAGTTTTGGACAAAGTTCCCCCACATAAGCTCTGGCAACCCACCTCAGGACTGACCTCCAATGTCCTTGCTATTCTCGTCTTGGGTGTCTCATGAGAGAAGACTACTGTCTTGCCAAATTGTGAAGGAGTTTGGTCATATGGATCTGCTTCTGAGTTGTGAGCATGAGACCACCCAAAGTCTGTTAACTTGTGCTTTAATCCAAATTTTAAACAAGAGGAATTGAAGCTGCAAGTCAATAGTGTTGAAACTCTATCCTGGCTCCCAACATAGTGACTGTGAAGCAGCATTAGGCACAAATTCCCCAACTCGTATGAGCACAAATGCAAATTAATGATACTGAACACATCCTGACAAAACTCCACGAATGACACAACCCCTCAACACTTCAATGTGAAATGAAACAAAATGTTTCCAAACTTATGCTGAAATCGGTAGGAAAAAGTTGTTACACAATAATTCTGCACACATGCAAAATTGGAAACAGCCTGACCCTCTACAAATGCTTTTCCCTGAAAGTTATCCATAATTTAGCCCTACTTTACAAATCTAACCCTCTTTGATTACTCCCTCAACAGATACCCCTACACACAAACAAACACACACACACACACACACACACACACGCATACACACACACACACCCCCCTCACATTCCTGCCTCCATGATTTGACCACTTTCTTCTCTTGCCTTGTTCTTTCCCCTTATAAATTTATCTCTCCTCAGCTGTCAGTTTATCCAATTCTTAGATGCCCATATAACTCTATCTACCCAACAACCCAACCACCCAGTTGTCTACCCTCTTCCTGTATCTAATGGGAAGTAACAGGTGAGAGGAAGATATCCAAAGAATAAACAGCTAAGGGAAATTCCCTAGACAGGGCTGAAGAAAACAGGCAGTGTTTCCACTAAGACTATACCCTAGTTACATCAGAATAAGGATCTACATGCTAAAAAAAAAAAAAAAAAAAAAAAATCTTTTTCTTTCTTTCATTATGGGGTATAAATTTCTCCCACCTTTTATTTTCTTCATAATGTTCTTTTGGAAAATCTCAAACATGTCTAGGGTAAACTAAAATGAATTTATCTATTCTTAAGGTAAAAAAAAAAAAAGAACAAACTGTTCTCAGTTACATCACTTGATAGAAACACTGACTTAAGCTAAAAAAACTGATGGAGGCGGGGGAGCTAGAACAAAGGATGAGAATGGGGAAGGGGGTAGCTGGGTTGTCAAGAGGGAGGGAGACGCAAGAACTCAGAGTTCACAGCAGCTTTAACCTCCTATAGCTTTCCAACCTTAGGTTCTATACGAGAACTTACCTTTAAAAAAATACTTGAGTTAATGGCCTAACATAGTCTTAGTTCTCAAGAAAAGATATTAAGAAAAATATCAGAACATAAAGGTAACTGTATACCTTATTAGCATTACCTATGGCAATCTTGAGAATACTTATTTTAAACAAAAAATAATTCAGATTTTTAAATGTCATTTTATTCATTTATTTAATATTTCTTAAAGAGCTGATGTATATAAATAGCTGTGGTTCCTGTACTCAGGGTGTTTAATGCCTGCAAGAGTGACAAACAACATGATCACACAATTGAACAATTACACATCCATTAATTTCTATGGTCAAAACCATGAAGCGCTATGAAAGAGTATAATGGGGGATCCAAGTTTGATAGAAGAATCAGGAAAGCCAAGACCCAGAGAATGAATAGGCGTTAATCAGGTAGAACATATAAAGGAATTCCATTTGCAGCAACATTGTGGACTGAATATCCAGTGAAATTATATTGCTAAAAATATACATAAAAACAAAAACAACAGATAAACTACCTAACATACTCTTGAATGTATGTATGAGCTTACACAGAAGCAAGAGAAGTTCTGAAGCTAGGGACTAAAAGGGAAATTTATATAGACTAGCTTCTGGCTCCATATATTTTGAATCCCTCTCCTCTCAATCCCCACACTTCCATTGCTGGGAATCAAAGGACACATTCATTCTGGGATATAATCTCTGTCCTTCCACCTTTATTTAACAATGGCTGAGTGAGCTGGCACAGTGGCCAGTTAAAGCATTTCTGGAAGCCTTTTGTACACTGAGATTGTTAGCAATAACTTGCCTATACATAGAAGTTACCGTGAGACTGACTGAGCTTCCCTTAGCAGGACCCCACAAATGTTCATAGCCTCTCCAAAACTACCTGAAATGAGAGTAAATATGATGATGGGTAAGTCAAAATAATAATAAAAAAAAATACAGATGTCTTAACTGATTACAATTAAAATGTATTACTTTTGAAATTTTACTAAATATAAGATTAGGTGAACACTCTGCTGGGGCCCTGGCAGGGCCTTGGAAAATCCCTGTGCAAGTGAGGGACATTAAAATTTAAGCTGCATGGTAAATTCTCCTCCTCTCTCTTTATGTGTGAGCATATGTGTACATTTTTAGAAACAAAGACTTGACTATGTTTGTAGACATGCTTTGAAGAGACAGAATTGGGGTCAAAGACATAACAGGTCAAAAACAAAAGTGCTGGAAGAAGATGAAAAAGGGATGTGGCAAAGAAGTTCATACAAGTGAGGTGATTAAGAATATAGAAGAACATAGGTAAGTTAAGAGAAGCAGAACTAGAAGAAAAAAGGACATCAGGCTTGATAGACTCTATTCAGTCAAGTAGGAGATAAAATTAAGAAGGTAATGATGTGCTCAACTCTAGTATTTAGAGAAAATAACATGGGCTTCAGAGGTGCCTTGAAGAAAGAGAAAGGCTGTTGTTGACCAGGCATAGGGACAGAGTCACAGGGAAGGTCCAGCTAAATCCGAAAATTGCCCACAATGCTACCAAGATCGAAGGTGGAAAGGTAAATTGTAGAGGGAGTGACCTGCGGCTCAGTAGATGACCAAGATAAGACTGAGAGAAGACTATCACCGTTAAGAGTGACAATGAAAACAAGGAAGAGCTTTCAGAAAGATCTGGCAGTGGCAGAGGAGAGCCATGAGAATCAAGATGCCATTTCCAGATTCTGAGATATTGAGACAATGAGAGACTGAGCTGCCTCTATAAAATAAAGATTCCAGTGTTATCCATGAAAAGCAGGTTTCAATAAAGACAAGGAAAAAAGGATATTTTATAAACACTATATTTGGTTACCTATGATCTACTAAAATGGCCAGACAATTTCTCTGCTCTGTGAATTAGCTTTATGGAAAAGGACAATCTTCAAAGAGCTGATGAAAAAGAACAAATAGAACCAACGCCATAGCACAGACAAACTTCAAACCTAAAATCAGGGTGGTCTGTGACTCTGGAGGTATTAAAACAAAGGTCATTATTCATTTTAAAACATATATAAGTAACTTAAAGCAAAAAGATAGAAAACCTCTCTGTCCTTCATTATGTCCAACCATAGAAGAATCACCAGAAATCCAACCTAATGAAACACATTGTGCTTCTTTCTTCCTAGGCACGGAGGTAACTTGTATTAGGGGCTGGGAATAAGACAGAATACCAGAGAGGTTAAAATGATAATTCAGAAGCTTGTCACTGAATAGCAAATATTAAGGAGCCATCTTTTCAATCTTTCTGCCCCTGACATCCCCTGAAATGACTGATCATTCTTCCTGTTTTCTTTCCCAGGCTTCATTCAGTCTGTACATGGGGAGAGATAAAAGGAGGACAGTGGTTCTCTGATAGTCCCATAGTGCTTAATGATATACCGCCTTACACTGTTCCTAATTGTGTGTCTTATCTTCCTAATGAAAGTATAAGCACTGAGACTTCAAACTTCTCTTCTATTCCCCATGGCAACTATCACAGCACTAAGTCCATAGGGCATAACAGACACAATAAATACTTGTTGTCTTGGGAGAACTGTGATGTTCGAAGTGATCTTAAAAATCAAGTCCAACCACTTAATTTATAAATGAGAAACCTGAAATACAGAGTGGTTAGGTGGCTTGGTCAAGCTCACACACCTACAGGTGGTGAGAATTGAAATGAGTTCAGGGAGGCTCCAGTCCATCATTCGATCTGTCAGAATGAGGAGACCAAACTGAGAACCACTGACATATTTTCTAAAAGGCATTCTAGGCATGGAGAAATGAAGGCACAGATGAAAACTTCAGGTATATGCTAAAACATCTCCAGAATCAGTAATTCTTTGGGTGCTTTCCCTCTGCCAGGAACTATTTGACAGCTTTGCAATTACTGTTGTTGCATGCACCAAACAGCATGAAGTAAGTTAAAGTCATCCTCTAAAGCGTCATGGAATGTGAAAGAAGGGAAACTCAGAGAATCAGGCATTTTACTGATATGAAGGAACAAACAATTCTACCCAGGAATAATCAGAGAAAGCTACAAAAAAAGAACAGGAAAGTCTTGGGTAGAAGGGTAAAAATGTGTCTAGGTTTCAGCACTGGAAAAAGCAGTCTTGAATCACCATGGTATGTTCTCAGAACTTCCCGAAGTTCAGTGGGTGAGAAAATGTGAAGATATGCAGTAAGAATGGGGAAGAAGTGTCGGGAGACCAGTGGTGCAACACCTCTTGGCTCTGGACTGGAGAGTGGTGTAATCCCATTGGTGAAAAGAACGTGCTGTCACTGATGAGGACAGGCAGGAAGGGGATGGGGCTGAAGGAAGGGAGACCAGTTAACAGATCACGAAGTAAATGAAGGGCAATGATTTTTCCGACCTTCTTTCCTTGTCCCTTTATACAAACAAACAAACAAACAATGTAAGGAGCAAAAATTGCAACAGAAAAACAACAGTGTATTAAATAAGTCTTCTACTTTCTCTAAGCCAAATAAAATTTAATACACATGTTCATACAAGAAGCTATCTAAAGAAAGACATTTTTCTTGTACTTAGGAAACTTCCCTTAGTCATTCATTTACTCATTAATTCTAGGGTTGATCTTATGCAAATTAAACTAAATATTTTCCTAAGTCAACTAACAACTTTCCTAAATGATGGCTGATCCTGTCACTATTTCACTCTCAAATTCCAAAACCAGTTTGTTTGAATTTCCTTTACACTTCACTCTAAGGTTTAGGTTTGAGACCCAGGACAATTTAACACTACAACCTTCCTCTCAGAATATGGTCATTAGTTAACAGTGACCTTGCCAGCAGGCAAATACAGTTTAGCAATTTCAGCTTCCACAAAAGGATTGGTTATATTTATTAAAAATTACCAACACCCACATGGTATAATGAAACATTTTCTGTGTGTTAAAGCACGATTATAAACCAATAGTAGAAATCTAGACAATCAGCCTAGGCTTTAGAGGTCTGTGAGAAGTCATTAGGCTCTATACGCTGGCACACTTTTTTGTTCTATTCTTTTTCTGAAATGGCTTGGCTATTTTGTGCCTTGGATTCCTTGTCAAGTACGTGCTTTTTAAGTCTGTACAATTTAAACTGTCTTCTAATTCAGAGTCACAATTTTTTTATCTTTTATGATAAAGACAAAGGGTAAAATCAACCAATAGTATCAGAGCGCTGAAGTAATACTTAACAAACTAGGAAGTTACAGTCTTTCAAAACTATGTTCTTAATTGAGTATCAATTTATCACTGGCCAAAGATTCTGAGCTACATCTGTTTCAATCAATCTCTTTCCCGCTTTCCTTTCTTGATTCATTGCTTATTTTGTTTTCAATCTGTGAACACATACTGGGCACATATACATGTGAGTCACTCTGTAAGAGACTAAGAGCCTAAGAAATATAGAATGTAGGCCCTGCCTTCAGGAGTCCACAGTCAAGTTAGGGGAGACAAATACATAAATCAGGCACAGAGTGATAGTTTTATAATGGACAGATAAGGAGGCCATGAAAGCAAGAAATAATTTGATGTTTATATTATATATTACACATTCACACTACTAACAACACAGAATTAACAAATGTTTAAATACTCAAAAACCTTGATACATAATACAAAGAAGGTCAGACCATGGAATCCAAGAGGCATACACTGGTAGAGTACTATAGGGAGGGCTGGGCAGGAGAGGCTACTAGGGCAGCTGCAGAATCGAACACTGAGCATATCATTCCTCTGATACAGTTTCTCTAGAGAGAGAAGGAAGTGTCAGAAAGAGGGCATAAGGGAACTGTTTTGATATCTACAGAGGCACCAATTACTCTCTCTGGAAAAAAAATGACAGTAAAAAGATTACATTTATGTTGAAAAGCATCAAAAAGTACCAATGAACAAGAGGAATGTCAAAAACTAACCGAGGAGATCAGAACCCATTGCTGAATTAATTAGTCAAAACCTGGACATTTCTAAGAGTGACAGATGGCAGTATTATGAATGATTTGTAGTTAACAGACTTTAAATTTATTTTCTCTTGTAGCTGGACAAAGTTGTGGAGAAACACAGAGAATCTCACAAAAGAATCCTGGAACAGCTTTTAATGGTAGAAAAATCTCATAGGCAAACCATACTGGAGTTGGAGGAAGAAAAGAGAAAACATAAAGAATACATGGAGAAGAGTGATGAATTCATAAACTTACTAGAACAGGAATGTGAAAGGTAAGTCTACTTTGTACAAGACAATGAACCATATTGAACTCTTACTAACCTCTCAGTATAGGCTAGGTACTGTATGAGGGATACAGTGATACAAAGATGAATATGACACAGCTTCTGCTCTAAAAGATCTCATGGTCAAGAGTGATGAAAAAGACATGTTAAAAGACATATCAGTACAATACAAGAATAACCAGGTATAATAAGGACTGTGGAAGTATGAATGTTGGGCACCCAATTCTTCAAAGGATTGCCCTGCAAAAGCTGCACCGAGGAGGTGATGGGTTTAGTCTTTATACAAACAAGAACAGAAACAATATACAAAGCACGGGCAGAAATAAGTGTCACATCAGAGGTTAGAAAACAGTATGGATCCTGAGGGAACTCAAGCTTTCCACATAGCTACAGCACAGGGTGTTACTGGAAGATGAGAAAAGGAAAGGCCAGCTACAAGCTATTGGGTTTTACACTGTTAGCAAGGAGCAAATGACACACTGTGAGAAGGGGAATGAATTGATCAGGTATGTTTTCTTAAAGAACCACTAAAGCAACATGGAGGAAAGACAGGAGGAGCATATGTTTTTCAATGGCAATGGGGTTAGAGAGGGTGAAATATAAACAAGAAGTATTTACAATGTATAGTTAATTTGAATTAATGGCTAATGAGAGTGGAAAGCAGAACAAGGAAAACGGGAAGTTATTGAGAAGTACTAGCTATTCACCTAAGTAGAGAATATAGAATGGGACAGAGCTTTTTGTTGCTGAAGTATTTTGCGGGGGGAGGATGGTTTAAAAGGTGGAGGCGGGGAGTAGCAGAAGAGTTCTGTTTTAGAATTGTTGAGTGTGAGGTACTTAGTGTATGCCAAAGACCAGAGAGAGGAGAGAAAAGCATGTCTAAAGACAATCCACAGTTGAAAATATACATCTGGAAAAAGATGGGCTTGGTGATGTGAATTTGTGACTAGAGACATCCAAAGCTATGAGTTTTGGTGTGGTGAAGAGAATTCCGAGAAAAGAACTCTAGAAAACATTGCTGTTTGGTGGCTTTCTGAAGGTAGATAGGTCAAGAAAAGAAGCTAAGAGAGATGGTGATGGGTTAGAAGAACCAGAAGAGAAATAAAGTAAAGAAATCAAGCAAGGAAGGACTTTCAAGAAAAACTAAGTGGTCAAATAACAGCAAATAATACAGAAAGGGATAAGAAGCTTAAAATATAAACTAATATTTTGAGAAGCTTTGTGCAAAAATGGGGAGATTGGTTGGAAAACATTTTATAACCATATGAAGGGCAGGTTATTTTGCTTCACTTTGACTTCCCTGTTTTGAAACAATGTAGAAAGTATAAGCATGCATATTAATTGAAAGGACAATTGACCCTCTGTTGATACTACAAAGATAGAAAATAACCTATCTTTGCAATGACAAATTTTTACTGGAGCGTCATTTCACTTATTATTCCATGTATGCTTCTTTTATGAGTTACAGAGCTAATGACACTCATTTCTAACAGTTATAGAAAAATGGGGGGAAAAATACTTGTGAGCCCCTTTAACAAAAATACCAGTAGTCTTAATTGCTTTATTTAACTACTTACAATTCATATTTTAGATAGGTAACCGATGTTACATAAAGCTAGGTTAAAGGCATACTATATTTCTTTTCAATGTATTTCACGGTAGACACTTGGTAAGAGTGCTAAAGAATCCATGGTCCTCATACCCGGTTTCATTTCACACATTCATCAGACGCCTTGTTGTCTACTGACTACACAGAATGGGACCTTGTTATTGTACTTTTCCCCATATGAACTTGCAGTATCTTCAGGGGAGGATTAAAGGAGCATAAGTCTGCCGCCAAAGGAAGATTCGGCCCAAACATTACAATATAAGATTTGTTATTCAATGAGACAATGTCATATTAAATATTATTTCAAACCCCTGTGGTCTGGCACCTGTGGCCTTGTTTGGCCTCCACACTTATTTGGTACTAACTTGCTGAATGCCAACACTTCTGTTCATCTCTCATTATTATGGACATTTACTGACCATGCTCAGAGTGCTGCCTAACATAGAACAGAGAGGTACTGGTTGTCCCTAACCAGAGGGCTTACTACATTAATGGAGACTCCAAATATACATATTTAGGGTAGGAATGTGGAGGGCGGCTGGTGGTATAGTTCTAATATTTGCCGTTGTATCTCTGCTATCTTCTGGAGAAAGGCTGAAAAGTGCTATACAGAAGTAAAATTGTAACCATGGGAGGCAGATGATGATTATTTAAACCAAGAGAGAGAGCAGAGAAGAACACTGAGAAATGGGAACAAAATATCCGTGGGAATAAAGGCCACAGATTAAAAGAAAAGAAAAATAGTGAGGTGAAAGTAAATTGCACACCGTGAAATCAATATGTTAAGAATGGTATTACGACATGCATCTAAGGGGTTTAAGAGGAAAAATATAAAAGATCTTATTTCTTAAAGGACACAAAGTGACTTTGTCTTGAAGAATAATGAAAGTGAACATACTATTACAAAAAAATAGGAAAAAATGGCTGGAGTGACTCTCATTCTCTGTTTAGCCATTCCATAAGATGGGAGAATATTCATCTATTTCTGTTTGCTAAGGAACAGCTTACAGACAAACTCTTTGGGCATGATTACATTAAACCTATTAATACAGAGATAATTATTTCCCTTCCCCATCTGTATAACATCATAATTCCCTTACCTTGGCACCACTGGTGAATTGGTCCTTCCAGCTTCTCTACCTTTAATAGGAAACTATGAGCCTATAAAGCACAACTCACTTCTACCTGCATTAAGGCCATGTGGATCAAGGTATTAAGTGAACACCACCTAATAAAACAGGAAGTCGGGCAAACTAATAATTTCAGGTAAATATACACAGAAGAGGTGTTTACACAATAGAGCAAAATACCATTCACATGTCTCATTTTTGAACAACAGATGACAGAACATGCATCATTACTGAGTCCCTCTAACTTTAGTGAAAGCACTTGTAAAACACATAGCCACCCCTCACAAAAGCAAGACTAATTTGTCCTAAGGGGTCAAAGAGTAAGGTTTGCTTCCTTCCTCAAAGTGATGGAAAACCACTCCCAAATCAGTGACCTGTGCTGAGAAACAAAGAAAGATACCACCCCCGTAAAGGGGGGTTGGGTGACAATAGCTATAAAGAATTACCTGATGGAAGCTCTGCAAAACACTGTGAAAGTTTAGTGCTCATATTTTAAGTGTCAGATAATATTTACTTGGAAATAAAATAAAAATTAAGAAATATATGATTGAGATAGTTAATTTGAAATCTTAGATTCAAATTAAAGCTCAATTTCTGTATTTTCTTTGGAGGATTTGTTTTATGTGGAAAATCCTAAAGGAGACTGATGTCACACATTGAGTTTAAGCCAAAATGTTTGCCAAGTGATGTCTTTGTTGTAATCAGTAAACAATTGGCTTTCCCACTGAGGGACTGCAGGACAGGGATCAGCTCAGGAAACCCTGTTCTTAAGCATGTTAATGCGGTTTCCTTCACTGTAATCTATGTGGTTTGGTCTGTCCATAAGATAATATTATATCCACATTTCATGACAGCTTTCTGTTCACTGACCAGCCCCAATGTGTGGATATGTGTGTCACCAATGACTTGAATTATGTACTTGGCTGAATTACAAGTGGAGTCTATGTGAAAGGTTTTATACAAAAGCAATGCCAGTAATTTTTGGCCTTTCTGGATGGCTTCACAGGAAAGCCAAAACAGAAATCACTTTTAGTCAGTGCAATTTTGCAAAATTTTCCCATAAGTGAAATGCCAATTTTTCTGTACTTTCATAAAGTTTGCAAATTTTTTTTCCTTTTTCAGTTCAATGGTGTAAAAGGCTGTGAAGACCAAAAAAAAATTTTTTTTCCCTTTTTTTGAAACCATTCTTTAAAAAAAAATACTAAAACCATGTATACTAACCAAGTATATTACTGCATTTCTGGTCTTGAAGTATTCACTAAAGTGAGAAACAAGTATTGTTATGGCAACTCTGTATAAAAATGTGGCTTCAAACATGGATTCTTTTAAGGCCTTAAATTACTTTTCATAACATCTTGGCCAAGTAGGTTAGTACTGATAGCACTATTTTACAAAGCAGGAGTTCAAATGGTAGCTTTTCAAAAGCCACATAATGAGGTAGGAATCACAGGCAGAATTAATTGCTTGTTCCTCTCCTGCCTAGGTGTGACTAGAGAGAGCACTGGCTCAGGGGGCAGGGGGGTCTTTAGAGGAAAGTCACCAGGGACCTAGCTTCAAGGGTTGTTGGCTTTACCACACCTTAGGCTAAGTCCTATGCTATTCAGGTTTGAGTAAGGAACAAAGCACTTCTGCCCTGGCTGGGGAGCTCATTTGGTTAGAGCACTGTCCCAATACAACAGGTTGCAGATTTGATCCCCAGTCAGGGCACATACAGGAAGCAACCAATGAATGCATATATAAGTGGAACAATAAATTGATGTTTCTCTCTTTCTCTCTCTCAAAATCAATAAAAACTTTTTAAAAAACCCAAAAAACAAACAAAACAAGCACTTCTATCTTTTCCATGAGCTGAAACAGCTTGGTAAAAAAGATTTCCATTATCAACCCTTCTCTGCTATGACAAGCCTGTTTTCCAGACTGATTTCAGACAAGTGACTGAAACACTGAACCATATTTGACCCCGCTGTTGATGAGTACAGTTGAGCCTTGAATAATGAAGGGGTTAGGGGCACCCACCCCTGTGCAGTCAAAAATCTGTACATAACTTTTGATTTCCTCAAAACTTAAGAAACAGTTGTCCCTTGGTATCCATGGGGGATTGGTTCCAGGAAACCCCACCCCCCACCTTGCCTGACAGATACCAAAATCTGCAGATGGTCAAATCCTTTATATAAAATGGCACAGAGGACTTCCAGCACGATGGCAGCATAGGTGAACACAGCTCACCTCCTTGTACAACCACATCAAAA